CCATTATGCAATGAAGATCCGATTGTCATTTCGGCCGGGAAAACTGAATCACAGAAACGTCCATAAACCAGATTGGTTTTCACGGTTCTGTTTTTCCAGATTATGTACCTTGTACTCGTTGAATATTCTATTTTCAAGGTAGAAATTTCTTGCCAGTTTACTAAAATAAAGGATTAAATATTTCCGCTTCCTTTTTGTTTATTAATCATAGAAATTTGCAACAAACGTTTAGGAAAGAGTCCGCGGACATTCAAATTCTGTATGATATTGGACACTGACACTGGGCAGGGGGTATACAAGGAAAGAATTAAGAATATACTGTATTGAAGAACACAGATTAAAGATATTTGTTAACTGCAATTATCGTTGCGTGTTCTCTCTTTTCAGCGTGAACGAACAGTTTTATCTGGTTGCCGATAACTGCAATAACAAAAACAGTTCATGTGGTAAGCTGAACTGCTCTGATTATTTTACACCAGGACCACTTTGAGCACTTTGTCGATTGATCGTCTCACGTGAATTAACTAACAGTTGGGGTTACCGACCAGTGTTCAACAAAGCCACTTTTAACGCGGTCATCAACGTCAGCAGTAGCTGGAACAGTACTTCACACTATTCCCCGTATCCAATAGACGCGTACCAGTTTACTTTAGAGTTAAGATGCGCTTGCCACCGCGTGCGTGCGTGTTACAAACCATGAATAGCAGATACAAGGATTCAGATCAAGCCTATGGGATAAACTCCTACGCATTTACTCTCATAAATGTCTCTGTTGTGATTGGTTAAAATGAGCATTGGGACGAAATCAATTTGTTAGACCAAACGGGTGGATGCACACCGAGTGAGTTGATTGGTCACCCCGAGAGGAATTGGTTTTAAGTGATACTGTTAACCTCTGCGACCGCCCGCCCGCCCGCCACCCCTCCCCGCTCAGCTCAGTCCCTTGAGGTACTTCCTCTCAGTATCCCGACCCATTGTGAGTTTTCTTGATGAAACAAGTGAGTTGCACAGCGTGTCAAACTCTTCGTGGTCAGTTTTTGGTGCTTAACAGAATATGACTTAACAAGTAACTAAAACCAGTAAGTCTTTACTGTAAAGCTTGGTATATTTGACTTTAAGTAAATTTGATCACCAACTGCGCTAGTGCATAGACTAACGATAAACTTGCATTGTTTCTGATTAGTACTTCCATTTTTATTATTATTGTCTTGTAAGTAAGGGATATCACACAAAGATATCAATCTAACAAGGATGTCGGAATCAAACCTTTTTTATATCCTGTAGACCATCATCCTAAATTTCTTTAAACAAACCTGAATGAACGGTAAACAAACTTGGGCGGAACGCTTCGTTCGATAATATGAAGAATAAGATTATTATATTTAGCAACATGGAGATTTTCAGCTAGAGGAGGACCTGATCATTCATCACTACATAATTGCTTCCCATCCTGTGATGTGTATTGTATTACATGAATCTATCGTGATTTGTGTTTTTATCAGCAGTCCATTAAATCTTCAGAAGAATCCGGCAGTATAATAGCGTTGTTCTTATGAATTCCAGTTTGTTACATGCAGCATTGTAAAACCGTAACTTTGTTTCTAGCGAATACAATCGAACCTGCTGTAACTGGGCCCTAATTGATTTTATTATAGATTATATTTTATAATAATCTAACAGCTCACAATAGTGGTCAATATTCTGTGTTTAAGTGGCAAAATGATATTTGATTACGGGAGTTTTCTCAAATGTTTTCTGTATTCTTGGTGTTGCTATGTCTTAATTTACTAAGTTGATAACTGTGACCAAACACAAGTGGAATTCCACTTCAAAAATTGCACACCTCCTGTAGACAACCAAACGGGCAATCAGTCAGTGGCGTCCTGTTGACTCCGTAGTTCAGGGAGTGAGGTATACGTTCATTGTGGAGGCATAGACGATTACTGTAAAAACATACTACAATCCCACATTGTGCCCCTATTTTGTAGCTCAGTTCAAGTCACGAAATCAGTTTTTCTGTACCATTCTCAACAGGATTCGATGGGCATTCCCTCCCCCTGTGGTTTCCGTTGAGTATGTAATATTTGGGTGTCTCTTTCTGAAGCTGACACCTCCACTTGTACATATCACGTTGATTTTGATGGGGCGAGGCTCTCAATGAATCAACACTGTCCTGGACTCCTCAATAACTGTGGGTTAAAAAAGTTACCCAAATCGATCATATGTTTGCTTCTTTTATAATAACATGGGTATCCAATATTGTATTTCAAAAGCATTTACCAGTATCTTAGTTTCGAACAACGAGAGATTATATATGTTCCATTCCCAAAGCGGCAACCGGTGAAGGCATTTCCACATTCAAATAAAATCAGTGTAATTTCTCCTATTTGAATCTCTATACTGCCACTCTGACGTCTCATCTGGGACAAAATTTACATCAGTATACAAAAAGGAAACAGTGTAATTATGTCCGGTTGATAATTCATCATGATTTTGTGAAAATATTATTGAAACTTCAATGTAATTAAAAACAATTTTGTTCAAATTTTATATGCAGAGACGGAAACTGCAAAACACATCCCAACAAAATGTCACCCCTCGCACCCAAGTACACTGACCCTAATGGTGATTCTGTTGGTGGTACCAGCGGCCGAAATCTGGAAATACCGACCAAGGTCCTCACAGGATTCTTGTTCTTTGTTCTCGGTATCATTATCTTACTTTTGTTGCTACTGATTACCGTGGCCACTGCTGTGACCAAATCCAGCTGGTGGACTCGTCGAAGACGGACTTGTCAGCGTCGTATGGACCATCTGGGTGTAAACAAAACACCTTTGTTGGAGGATAGAATATTCTACTATGCGGATATTTGCTTGGAGGCCATCGCTTTCCATTGGGATGAAAGCGAACAACTGGTCATAAAACCGCCGGTTAAACCAAAAACAAATGACCAACTGACTGTGGATGGGACGCAACTTCCACTGAGATTCCAACCGGAGAAATTGTACGGGGCGACCAGTACAATACACCGGGATAATATGAGAAAAAGAAGTTTTTCCACGTTGTCAGTTCAGCCGTCGCCGGACGGACATCGACGTGCGTCTATGATTGAAAGTCTTTCGTTTCTCAGTCCAGCCAACTGTATGAAAATGGGCAAAACGCCTGACGATCAGCCCCCAAGACTTCCGGGATACAAGCTGGCCTATCCACAATATGAAGGTTCTCAGTCTACAGGATGGAATGTTGGCACCTTGCCTCAGATAGATATTACCTGTGACCAAGATCTCACCGGAGATGAAACAGACGGGATTGACGGTTCACGTTCCGATCGCGAAGCCGATGTAAATTCAGTGTTATCGATTTCCATCCCCGTGAGACGAGCATCAGCCACCAACATTAAAGTGGTTGGACCAGTTCTTAATCGTCGAGCCAGCTTTGTGGATGCCTGTGCAATACCAGCATTATCCATAACCGGTGATTCTACCAGCTCCGGAGAGAAGGATTCTGGAAAAGACAATATCAGTTCAGGTACAAATATGCTGAGACCCGCTCAAAATAACATCGTGAAGCGAAACAGTCTGGTCGAAGACTTATCCAACTATCGAAACATTCCTTTAAAAGCACCAACTGGCTGCTCTTTCCCCGCAA